GCCGGCCGGGCCGGGCCCCGAGGCCAGCTCCGAGGACCTGGGCACGGAGCTGGGCGAGTCCTGGTCCGCGTCCTTGTTGGCTGTGCTGCCCGCCGTTGCCGAGGCGGCGGCGCAGGAGGCCGAGAGCTTGCCTTTAGAGGAGGGCACGGAGAACGGCGCCCAGGCCGACGCGGCGTCCCTCAGTGCCCGCCAGTGGAGCTACAGCACTCGCGGCAGCGGCGAGGAGTGGTCGGAGGAGGTGAAGCAGCAGCACGAGCAGCAGCTGCGCCGCGAGCTCCTGGAGCAATACCGCGCGCTGCTGGCGGAGCGCAGCCGCTGCCAGCGCTACAGCGCCTACCTGCAGCACAAGATCCACGACGCTTTGCGCAAGAAGAAGGGCCTGGATGCGGCCGAGGTGCCCGACAGGCCCGAGCCTGAGGCCCCCGAGAAGGAGCGGGCCTACCTGCACTACCTGGCCAAGCTGGAGGAGCTGAAGAAGCAGCTGGCCGAGGACCTGGACTGGTACCACCAGGAGCTGGCCCAGCTCCAGAAGCAGTGCCGCGAGAAGCTGTCCCAGGTGGACAAGGGCTGGCGCGCCTTCCAGGCGGTCAAGAAGCAGGTGGTGCTGCAGGCCATGGGCAGCTGTTGGCTGCGGGGCGGGCGCCAGGCCGCCCTGCGGGAAGTGGAGGCGATGCAGGCCCTGGAGGACAAGAAGGAGAAGGAGATGCGTGCGGTGCGGCTGGAGAACGTGCAGCTGAGGCAGAGCCTGATGCACTTTGAGACCAGGATGAGGACCCAGGAGGACCTGACCCAGGGCCTGCTGCTCATCGACTTTGAGCAGCTCAAGATCGAGAACCAGACCTTCAACGAGAAAGTGGAGGAGCGCGGCGAGGAGCTGCTGAAGCTTCGGAACAAGGTGACCGACAACGTCCAGGTGGTCACCCATGTGAAGCAGAAGCTGCACTTCGTGGAGGCGGAGACCGCGGCCAAGAAGGCGCAGCTCCAGGAGCTGGAGGCCCTGGTGGCCCACCAGAGGGACATCCTCACCCAGACCAAGAAGGCCCGTGACAGGCTGCGCCTGGACAACATCAAGCTCGGTCAGAAGTGCGGGCTGCTGGGCAGGGACTTGCTGCTGCAGGACATGGAGGAGAAGATGAAGCAGGCGGAGCAGCTCCACCAGCGCCTCGAGGCCTTGAAGCACCATCACGCCGGGCTGTCCCTGTCCTGCAAGGGCGTCAAGCAGAAGATCCGGGAAGCCAGGGCCTTCCTCCCCTCGTGAGGGGGTGCCAAGCAGAGCACTAGTTAGTGTGTCCTCATAATTTCTCACTTCCACCTGGGTGAGGAAGCAGCTTTTGTTTGGGGCACGGAGAAATGGGAATGGTTTAATGTGCCGAAGACTGGGGAAGGCAGGGGAGGGGGTGCCCACAGTCCTTTTGTATAGACAGACCAGCGCCTTTAACGCTTCCGTGGTCCAGGCCAGAGGAGTGCTGCTTCTCTCCCATTGGGAGGGATGTTTTTATTTTCAACAAATGGGTGGGTAACACCCTCACCCCCAACTCTTGTGCCTTAAGCTATTACACTCACTCTAAACTTGTTAAATTGTGCCTCGAATACTCACTGGTTCCCTTACATCACTCTGCAAAGTATGTGAGTGTGACCCAGGGAGCGTGGGGGGCACCGGGAGCCTCCAGGGAGCAGATGACAAATAGGGAGTGTGCCTTCAGCCCCAACCCCCCATGCAGACCCTGCCTGGGCCCCACTTCCAGTTACACACCTTGTGTGAGTCTGGGTAGACTAGAGAAACAAATTCATAGACACTCGTGTGTATAAGAAAGAACTTTGTATAATATAAAAGAGCAATTGTATATTGAGAAAACAGCCCAGCCCAGATCAAGTCCATAAGTCTGCTATTAGCCCATATGTCCGATTTCAGTCTATAAATTCCTCTTAAGACTCACACAATGCATGCAATGACACCGGATACAGGAAGATCACAGGCCAGTGGGTGGAAAGTCTTGTGGATCCAGTGGTGGTGGAAGCATCTCAGCGCTGGTGTGGGTCTCCACGTGGCTCCTCCAGCTCCAGGGCTCTGGCTCCATCAGAGTGTCTCCATGGGACTTATCAACAGGAATGTGAAGCAGAGAGTGTCCCGCCTCCAGGGAGGAACACGGGAGTTGCCAGAATCCTCAGAAGGCCACACCCACACCAAGGCCTCATTGGTTATGACCTGATTGACAGGTTAGACTCCTCCCCTTTGCTCAAATTGCCACAGCTTCTTGAACCCTATAAGGAAGCAGTTCTCAACCTGTGGGTCATGATCCCTTTGTGGGGGTCAAATGACCCTTTCACAGGGGTCACTCGACTCATAACAGTAGCAAAATTAGTGATGAAGTAGCAATGAAAATAATTTTGTGGTTGGGGGGGGTCACCACCACATG